AGCGGCCGACGGGGATTAAGTGGCGACTCCAAACACCGTTGCAACAATACCAGATTGGATTCTGCAAGTTCCCTTTGTAGAAGACGTGTGCAAGATCTCCTTGACAGGTTCTTTCTAGGCGCTGCTGTGCAAGATCCTTTTGTACAAGGTCTGTATGAGACCAAACAAAGATCGACTATGTTTAAACATGTCCTAGAAAAATTGCGTTGAACATTACATGACACCAATGTGACATTAAGATATTAAGCATCAAGCATCACCGGAAGCAACCTCCAGCCATTCCGGCAATGCGCACCGACGCGCAGTGCACTTGCACCGCGGGACCACAGACCCGATGGTCACAGTGAGGAGTGGACTATTGTGCCATCTCTATTTGATTGCGCACCAACATCACGCATGCTGGCATCAGCATCTGCTGAATCCCTAAGGTAGAAGCCATTGTCCTGGTGCCACTTAGCATCGGCACCTGCAGACGCAGGAGTCAGCGACATGATCGGTGTGGACAGGACTCCCGTGAGTCTTCTTTAATTCCCCCATGCAGCAGAAAAATTATATCGCAGTCGGAAAGGATGGTAGAAAACAGAAATGGTAGAAAACAGAATAAACAGGTGCAAGTTTCAATTCTTTCTTGGACTTGATCAGGAAAAAATAAAACATGTGTCTTGCTTCAACATCTCGAACGTCTATGTTCAGCGAACAGTGGCTTCACATGCGCCGCACAAACTATTTTGGAGCCGCGGTGTTGGCTGTCCGCTTTGCCTCAAAAAGAGTAGATTGGGCCTTTGTCAATCTCATGCCACCAGCGCACACGATTGAACACTAGAAGGCCAAGCAGACTGTTTTGAATGCGGCTTTGGACACGATGATGAACCACTATGTAAGATCTTCACACCACAATGTCTTGTCATGAAAATGGGTGGGTTGATTGAAATTGACGCACAATATGTTGCAGCCACCATACCGTCTTGATTGAAAGCATTCACCTCGTAGGGTCAGGAACACGCTCGGGGAATCGCACCATTATTGACGCGTATCTTTGGAAACAAGACTTATATACAACAAGTGCTTTGGAGCACATTGTCACTCTTTTTTGGGCTGACAGTTTAGACATGGGACCGTGCAAGACCTCGTATTTCTGGAATCCTACTTGAAATCATTGGCACTCAGTTGCAGCTTGGCAATCATGTCTTGAGCTTCCGAATTAGTCAAAAGGTCTTCCCAGGCACATGTCTGGTAGTACAGGACAGCGTGGCCACCTGGCGGGCCTCGTGGCTCGCTCTTTAGCGTGGCCTCCTTGCTCTTGGCGCTTTTCTTGTCCTTAAGTTTGGGCGCCTGCTCTTCCACTTCCTTCTTGTCAACCTCTTGCAAGATGCCAACTTTCAAGAGGTCTTTGACTGCTGCCAAGACGTACTTTGCTGGTTTTTCCTCTTTCTCCTTCTGAAAGCGGTACTTCAGAACAGAGCGAATGTGCGCAGTGGAGGTTGGACCAGCACATCGAGGATTGGACAGAATGAACTCGCTGCAATTTCATCTTGGCATCCAAATCTGCAAGTCCTGGGGTCTTGACATCTGGCACGGCTTTGGGGCCTACCAAGGCTTGGACTTGCTTGGAGCGATAGAAGGCAAACCACAAGCACATTTGGCGACGCCAGATATGCAAGGCATGTCACAAATCGAAGACGGTCATCTCAACGGCAAACTCATCTATGATCCTATCAAGGGCCAACGCGCAGCGGGCCTCAGAATACTGCCTGCAACGCATGGCTGCATTAGCGTACCGAGCCACATCTGTGTCAGCATAGCGTAGCTTCTGTTAGATTGGTTCTTCTACATTCTCGTGATTCTCGTGAAAGAAGTCGGAGATTCCCTGCAAAGCCTTCCTGAGCACGGGCAAGGCGAACTTGTCAAAATAGTGGTCTTTGTCCTGGTTGCTTGCCACGCGCCCCATCCAACCAAAGAAGTCAATCAGGAACTCTTTGCTGGACTGGCTCTGCTGATCAGGGTCACTTGTCACTGGCCTTGTTTGCCACGTCGCATGGATTCTCTTGGAAAACATGCTTGCAGTCGGCTGGAGCACATACTCACAAAGCGACACCAGTCCATACACTTGGGTGTAATGACTCAGCGCCGTGGCACCATCTCCAGTGACTGTCTTGTCATCTTCGCAGTTCAGCCAAGTGCACATCTTTTCTTTGTTGCCGTAATGCAGACCTGAGTGTCGGGTCTCCCTCCCGGATGTCACGGCATATTGTTGTGGCAATCTCATCCGAAATGATGCCAGCTCGGGCATATTCTTTGATAGAAGCACGAATACCCTTGATGGTGGCATCCGTGCATGTGGCGCCACCTGCCTTGATGACAGCAGGGACATCTGCATGGGAAAGAAGCTTTTTGCTGGTAAAATCCTTCAAAGAACTCTTGCGCATGCTGGGGTCACCAGCGCAAACAATCTAGACTACGCAGCCACGTCGGTGCTCCTCATCAGGCTGCAATCGAAGCCGCGTGCCTGCATGGATGCTCCATCCAACCAATGTTGCTGAGGATAGGCGCCATGAATGTCTCAGGCTCCCAACCTTCCTTGCGGGCAATGGTTTTCAAGCTGACTTCGAAAGGCACGGGCAGCACTTCTCGAGTTCTGAAGGCAAAGTCTGATGCCACAGCGTGGTGGTCCCTGGGGTCTTTCAAGGCTGCATTCAGAACGGTTTGATAAGAAGCCTCTGGGCTTCCAAGCCCTTGATATGTGCTCTTGGTGTGAAGCAACGAAAGGCTTTGTGCTTCATCCCTGCAAGCCAAGTACTCCGACATGGCGTCGTGCATAGGATCCTTCACCGTGGTAGATGCCTTGCTGGTCCGACTCAGGTCCGTAGATGTCAATCCCAAAGCTTGGAATGGACAAGCGGGCTGCTTCACTTCCACCCTGTGTGAAGGGAGGGCTTTCTGGGCTTGGGGACCTTTGGGTGGGCGGCACTGGGCTGCGTTGTCCTGCTGGGTCTTTCTTTTTGTACCACCTTACAATGGCCCTACCCCCTCATACATCAGCACCCCTCCTCTGCTTTTTTTCCATTGCTGCCTCAATCTCCATCTCTTGCAAAGCGGCATCATCAGCCTCTTCCTGGGAATCTTCATTCTGAAGACAGAATGGGCAGTCATGCATAGGGCAGCCCTGCTTTAATCGGTATTGCTGAAAGCAATCCGCGTGGCACACGTGCGAGCAAGAGTCTCGGCTCGGGGAGCACAAGTGTTTTTCCGCATCGTCTGCGAAACCATCTCCACAAACTTCACACGTGGCCATGTCTAGGAAGCTAACTCCTACAACTTGAACTTGATGGCGCGGCTTGGGTACCGGAGAGCACTTGTCAATGCGTGGTATCATGGTCATATTTGTCGTATTTGCCTTTGCAGTCCCAAGCGTGATATCGACTCCATGCAACCAAACTGGCTCTCATGCTGCGCTGCGTGGACAGCCGGAACAATGTGAAAATGTTCACATGCCCTCCACATCTCTCAGTTTCAACACTTCTGCAGCGCGCAGCGAATTTTTTAACCTCGCGACATTATCAAAAACTGCTTGGCCTAGTGTACAAAAGGACTGCTTTCTGGAAGTTTCTTGCGATTGAGAGCACAATATCGTCCATGCCATTGAGACCCACAGGTCGCAGTGGACGAAGCCAGCGCGGCGCTAATCAGGTACGGATAATTTGTGGTCTGCGGCCTGCAGCGTCTGCAAACAAGATTCTTGCAACGCTTGAACCCGAGCCTCAGTCCAATGAAATCTTGGTTTTGAAAACAACTCCCAAGCCCATAGCGGAATGTCTGGCGGCAAATTTTCAGGTGGACGTTCTTGATCAACTTGACTGTACAGGTGCCAGTAGACAAGCAAGAGACGAACATTTTGCTCATCCAGCGCCCGCGGCAATGCAAGGTCAACTTCAACACCCGCAATGGGGCTCTAATGCACCTGAACGCCAGCGTCTACATACGTCTGGTGGAGCATGCTGCGGGGAGATGACATCCTCCTCGTCAGAGGAAACTATAACGAGCCCATCATCTCCGTGTAAATCAGGCTTGTAGAGCAAGCGAATCCGCTGCACATCTGCCCGGCCGCTGCCATCTCCAGACCGCCTTGGAGGGTCAAATTCCAGAGCATCCAGCTGCAACCAGGTGTCAGCACATTCAAAGCATACATTCTCTGTGAAGCCAAAGGCTGCAGCTAAGGTCACACCCTCCTGCCAAGGGAGCCACGCACCAAACGGAGCCATGGATCGCACACCACAATAAAAATTGCCAGGCCAAATTCCATACCCAGCATCACCGGGGGGAAGCATCTTGCGGCGTCAGCAGAAAGGGCGCTGCGTTGCCATTAACATAGGGCTAGAGGCTTTAAAAGGGTGACTCTGATGCTGCTTGTGTGTGTGTGTGATTGTGTTGCATTAATAGGTTCAATGACTCAATGATATACTGTCCTGACATTGCCCGGCTCCGAGAACACAGGTAGACAGAACTAATTCAGTCGACCCGAGTTTTCAACCAAAACAAAGGCAACAGAGGCACATATAGGCGAATAGCTGGCAACAGTCAGATCATGCAGTGCAGCAGTGGACATCCGGTATGGGGAACCGACGAGCAGATCATAGCAGATCAATATTTCTCTGCCGTGCTTCACAAACTTGTCCGATCTGTCCAAATCTGTCCAAGCAAGAACAAAGCAAGAAAGAAGCGATTTCTTATCACCTGTGCTGCAGCAATACGGTCCTGTAGATCTTCAACCACCGACTTCAATAGAGGATGATGGCCTCTTCAAGCTCAAGGAAAAGACCTGGCTCAGAGAGCACAGGTGGAACATCTTCTGCCACCCTTGGTTTCAAGGACAACCGCTGCAGGATGTCTTTGTGATCAGCAATGAGGCATGGGGCATCTGGACTCGCTGCACTTACCTTGCGCTGTAGCGCCAACTGGTCATGCAGCGGATCTCCGCATACGATGGTTGGAGACACGCCTCCACCTCTTGCTCCTTGGGGTACTTGTTTTTGTAAAATGCATCAAGCAGCAATCGCTGCTTTCTGAAACTGTCCGTGGCGTGAGCTACTGGGGCTGCCTCAGCTAAGGACAGGCCTGATGCCAGCCTGTCCTGTTTCAGGTTGGTTACCACAGCATCCAGATCAGGTTGCAAGTCGACCCAGTCTTCTGTTTCAGCTGCTGTTACAGGCTGAAACAAGGCCCCGTCTACCGTGACCCAAGCTAGGAGCACCGTATATGGGTGTGTTTTCTGACCTGCTTCATCATACATTGCAATCCTTTTTGCTACATCCTGGTTTCCATCTCCTCTGATCACTGAACCACTGTACACATTGATGAGCCGCTGCATCTCGCGTGAAGCTGCCTTGGTGTAATCTTCCAATGCTGCCATGAGAATGGAGCGGATGGATACAGATTTGGGCACTGCACTGCAAAATTCTTTCATGCGCACAGCTACATTGAGGGAAAGAGCATTGCCACAGATTTGCTCCACCAAAGCCCGCCTCGTTGCCCTAGAGTTGAGGCGGTCGTAGAACAGCTGCACCAAATGGAGCAGGAATCGCCGTGTCAGCAAAACAGGGGCTTGCTTCTTCACGTAGTGCACCAGCAGGGCAGGTCAGGATAGGCTGCAACAACATCATGTGTCTCCACGGTGCAGTTGTCGAAGATGCGCAAGTGCGCGCACGTATGGCAGCGATGGCGGCGACCATCCACTTGCACTGGCAATGGCAGGTCCAGAATCCAAAAGGAACGGCTCTCATCTGCGCGTGGGGCCGCGTGATGGGTAATACCTGAAGCAGCTCGTTCGGCCAGGTGCGCCTGCAAACGTGGCAGAACGGATCGCACCGAGTGATCAACTGTGCATGAAGTGGCCAAACCTAGCTCTGCATTGCCAGCCTGCCAGAGAGCTGCCAAAGCTGCATTCTCGCGCAAAGCTCTGCCTTGATCTCCTTGTGTTTCCCCCGGTTGCTTCTGGAACAGCAAGCCTAGGCATGCAAGGCTACATAAAAACAATCTGTTGCGGGTCTCTCTTTAAAGGATGGCAACATGTTACAAAAAATCATCGAGGCCAAGCCACTCGCTCCACGGCGATCATTCGCACAGTTGGCAACCTGGAAATGTAAGCCAACATCTTTGAGCTCACTCCATCTGCATGTGCGGGTCTCTGTGTATTTGGCTTTGAGGACGGTTCGTCCTTGAAAAGTTGCCTGCTTCAATGGAACCACATCAGCCAAAGTAATTTTTCTGCTTGTCCATACACTCAGAATGAACACCGGCTGATCGTCCCGGAAAGCAAAGAGACCTCCTCTGGGCTGCAACTGTGTGACTTTGGCAGCACAGATCTTCAGGAAATGCACTACCATCAGTGTTGTCAGCAGCTCCAACGTCCTTCCTGCTGCCAGCCGTTGGGCAAGACTGCAACGGTCAGGTCCCCTCTGCGGGCTTGTGCTGGCCTGCAAGGCTTCTGATGCTGGTGCTTTTGCCAACTTCGGCTTTTGTGAATCACCTTCCCTAGGCACACCATCCCAACCACGCAACTTTTGGACAAAGAAGCTTCCTCTGGCGCATCCGGCCATGTCTGGCGCAGGGCGGCCAAACATTCGGGGGGCAAGCTGTTGATTGACTAACGGCCAACGTGAAAATAGTACCAGTCAGATGCCATCCGCCTCTTCCGAGATTCTATACGTTTGGAACCTCGCAGCATAGCTAAGGCAACCTGCGGCCCCTGAATGGTGAAGGCTCGCCGAGTCGCTTGTGCTTCGTCGGCCACGGCTTCAAAGCAGAGCTACAAGGTTGTAAATAACAATGATGATCTTGTTGACAGCATGAACACGTACATCTACATATCAGCTCAATGTCACGATGTCTACGTCAATCACCCGGCTCGGAGAGCACAGGTTGACAATACGTGCCTAAATTTGAGCCCAACGGATGAAGATAGGCGCAGACAAGCAAATGCTACACCACACTGTAGTTAAAAAGCATGAGGTTCTCTGAGCATGCAGGGCAGCTGCAGCAGACAGTGCATCTGAGGAATTGGGAGGATGTCCCGACTATTTCGACCACTAGATTACCATTGCGCCCAGCTTCCCATCGCAAATTTTTACACCATAGCAGGCTGTGCCGCAGACCTGTTTGTCTATACCATATGTCCAAGTTTGTGAAGATGTCTAATTTTGCCGCAGCTGCAGTAGCAACATTAATGGCCACTGCAACTAGAAAGTGGCAAACGCAGATTGCACTGCGGAGCTGTCCCCGCCTCCGTCCTGCGCTCCCCATGTAACAATGGATCCATTGTAGCGCACTGCTGCAAACGCTTTGGCAGACCCATGTAACTTGACATCCGTCAGCATTGGCAAAGAACCCTTTCAAAGAGGGTGTGACTTGCCGGACTTTCTCGTATCACAGAACTATCGCCTCGCAAGGTGGCCTTTCCCCAGGTGACAAGCGACCCTTCCTCCGTGACAGCTGCAAATGCATAAGGCCCTGAACATTCACAATGCCTTGAAGTCGGTCTTGGACCATCGAGCTGTCTCCTCCATTACTATAGGGTCTCCCCAAGCAACCACGGACCCATCCAACACAATGGCAGCGAATGCAGTATGCGTGCAGTGAATCTGCGTCACTCCCTTCAGTTTGCCCTATCTCCGCCACACGACGGATCACCCCAGGTGACGACAGACCCATCATGACGAAGGGCGGCAAATGTAATCATAGTTGGAAGGCAGCAGGCCAAGTAGACACTACGACCCAAGAAATTCAAGAACCTTAGTTGCTGCGATATCTTCGATCCAAACACACGCTCTCGGACACAGCCCAAGTGGGTCAAGATCGCAGCATCAACCTGTTCATTCCGGCCTGTTGGCCAACCTAGCACTCTCTGCAAAAGATCATGCGGGGGCGACGTTCGGGTCGCAGCAAAGGCTGGGCAGTCCCAGGCCAAGTGATCCCATGTTGGCACATTGCCAGACGCACACCACTTGCAAGGAGCTGGTGCGGTGTTGTGGTCTCGAATCCTATCTAAACGGGCATCTGAAACAACGGCACCAATCAAGCAAGCACGTGAGTGAGTGTTGGAAGACTGGTATGTTTGGCGCGTGAGTTTGGCCCTGGCCTCTTGATAAACACTTCCTTGTACAGCAGTGGCATCACGACGGCCACTTGACAAGAACTGTTGAAACTGTTGTCTGCGCCACGCTTCACGCAAAGCATGGTGTTCTCTCTGTTTGGTGTTTTCATCAATGGGTTGTGTCCAATCAAGCCGGAATTGAATGTCCGGGTGAATCCATGTCCATGCGGCCTCTTCGTGCCAATTCAAACTTTGGAGCCAGCTACGGACCGTGCCGAGCCATGTACCTCTGGTAGCAGCATTGGGCCAACGCCGTGGGTTTTCACGCACAATAGGAGCCAAGTGAATATAAGCTCCGAAACCTGCAGCAAAATTTAAGTTCAGCCTATGACCTGAGAGCATGTAAAACAAATTGGGGGAGCCAGCAATATGGCTGCCACCAGTCGTTTTTCGAATGCAAGTGGACAAAGGTTTGGCAGAGAGGGGTTTGAGCCAAGCCCCCCATGCAGCTTTTGTAATTGCCAAAGAATTGACCAAGAAAGCTTTAAGACTGGCTGTAACAGGCAGAAGTCCAATTCTTTCGACCCTCAAGCGGGCATCTTGCAGCCTCGCATCTTGAGAAGGCTTGTGCGCAGCTCCTAACCGTGCCGTAAAATCAACCCCTAGAACTCTAGCACCTTGCACAATGTGAGTTTCGTCGAAACCCGCGGCAATCAATCTGGGCTTAAAGGCAGCTTGCCGAGCCACGATTTGAATTTTTTCTTCGTTCTCTTTCAAACCCACCTTCGGTGAGAGCTGTTTCCAGGTGTCCCACAACTGGGCCGCTAGCTCGGGCGTTTTAGCCACCATGTTTCGGTCATCCAAAAAGGTGCCAAAGTGTGTGGTTCAGGCCTTGCTTGCAACACCCGGCCTGTGAGGCCAGTGAGGACTGCAAGAAGAGTCAAAGGGCTGATGGCGTCTCCCTGAGGGATCGAAGTGTCGACCTGCACTGGCTGCGGCAGGCAATCTCTTCTGAAACACAACCACCTTTCCTGGCTCCAAACTGAGGTAAGAGCAAAGAGGATTTCCTTGGGGCAACCTAGATACTCAAGGCATTTAATTCCAATTCGGGGATCAACGGTGTCGAAACATTTAGAAAAATCTAAAGAAAGGAGGACCCCGCCCTGTCTCTTTTCAAAGTCTTGAAGCAGCCGATCAACGGCATGAGCAACACTTTTCCCCTGGATGCCGCCACAGGCTGAGGAGTGGACCCAGCTCGTGACCCAAGCTCGCGTCTGCGGTCTGCGCGTCCACGCAGAGGCAATGGCGCGCCAGATGACGCTCTGAATCGCAATTGGCCGCAAATCTTTGGCTGGCAACGCGTGATCCGTGTCACGCAACTTAGCGTTTGGTTTTTGGAGCAAAATTTGCCGAATACTTTTCCAAACCGTGGGAACCTCACTTCTCGAGAACCATCTGTTCAACAACTCAACCAGGATGACCCAAGCTTCTTTGGGCCAGGCTGCAATTTCGTCACCTGACCACCCATCGCATCCGGCGGCTGTGCCACGCAGCCTAGAGGCTTGGCTGAAGAGTTCCTCAGCAGTGAGAGGGGTCCAAGCTAGGGGTGAAGGTTGGGGAACACCAAGTTTCCAGAAATCAACTGCTTCTTCAGGGTCGGGCCGGTCCCGTTCCCAAATTTTTTGCCGAAAAGAAAGAACAGCCTTTAAGGATTCATGATCAGAAGAGGTTGCTTTTCCTTGTTTATAACCATCGTAAACAGAAGTGACAGGCAATGTGTTGCATTTCTTGACCCACCGACCTGCGTCTTTGCAACTGGACCTCACACGCTCGCGCCAAGCTTGGAGCTGCTCTGTTTGAGTGCTTTGGACATGGCTACGCAATTCTTGCTGTGCACATTCCCTGGCTTCACCTAAGCTTTGCAAGCCTTCTCTGACAACAAAAGGATGAGAGAAGATACGACGGATCAGGATGGCCGGTGGCTGGCGGCCACGGCTTTGCTGGTTTTGGGCTTCAGCAATACGGCCCAAAAGCTTGCGCAGCCGGAGTTCTTTGAAAGTCGCTTGCTGGGCGATGCGAAAGGTACGAGCATTCGCTGCTTCAACTTGAAACTCTGAACCTTTGTTTCTACTCCGGCTTGGCCTTGGAACAGTAGCCCCGCAGGTTTCCAGGGCAGAGAGGTGTGCTCTCTCCGCAATGTGACAAAATCACTCCATTCTTGGTTGGTATTAGAAACTGGAGGGACCGTGACTTCCGACCACGGAGTTTTTAAAGCATTTTTCCATTCTTGCAAAGAAACATTTGGCGGCGCCGTCCATTTCCTCGTTTGAACTGCCTTAAAGGACCAAACATGGCTTTGGCTATATTGCAGAGAAAAACAAACGGGCTTATGGTCGGAAAACCAAACATCTTCAAATCGCACCTTGTCAATTGTTAGCAAGTGCGAAGCCCAAATCCAATCAATACACCGGGTACCAGACCACCGCGTGGGCTGTGGGACACCATTCTGATTGCAAACCGCACAAGTGCCGCCAAATCCGCTTATGTGGTTCCACCTTTCCCCAAAACAAGGTTCCTCGTTAAAGTCACCCACAATAACCAAAGGGGTGTGTTCACCAGTTGCTCCAACCCATTCATCCAAAGTGGAAGCAATGTCGCATGCCGCTGAGTTAGGCGCTAAATAGGCACCTATGAGGATGGCGTGGTTGAGCTGGAGCATGACCGCTTGACCTTCGGCACGGGTGTGAGTTCTGAGGAGGTGTGCAGATTATCAAACCTTACAAAAATTCCTACCCCACCGTGGGTCGGAGGGCAAGCAAACCAAGATCTATAACCATTTCGGAGCATAAAGTCAGCCAAGTCAGCTTGCTTAGCCGTGTTCATGCAAACTTCTTGTACCACCACCACAGGCGGGCGATGTTTAGTTGCCCATCGGGCCGCCGCCCAGCAGTTGGAGGCCCCACCAACATTAATAGACATGAACTGCATCTGCTGGCTGCGTCCTGATGGCCCTGGATGCGGGTGCACGTCACCATCCTGGACAACATCTTTGAACCAAGAGCATTTCTGGGCAGGTGGGACCCCGTTGCGCCCCCCTTTCGAAATCAAGTTCTTTTCCATGAGCTCCAATTCCTTGTGCGTGACTTTCCAAGTGGGCACAAGAAACTCAATGAGCTTTGGGTTTTGGCACCTGTGTCTCGCCCTGGGCAGCTGCAGTCACGCTTCTCACATCATAGAGCTGCTGCCGTACCATTGCATTGTCAGCAACCATCTTCGGCAAGCCCCAGGTAACAACAGATCCGTATGATGTCACCGCGGCAAAAGCGCGGCCGCTGGCAACGATCTGCACCACTTTGCGCAGGCGCTTGCACACACCAGAGCTGTCGGAGCCGTAGGCAGGATGCCCCCATGTCACTACACGGTCATTGTGACACCACAGAGCAAAGGCTTTCCAGGTTGAAGCGAGACAAGGGAAACGCGCGACACATGTAACGCAGTGTGCGCTTGCAGCCGAAGGAATCATACCATCGACCCGCAACACCGCACCTCGCGCGTCCAGGATGACCAAGAACTGTTGATCGAAGCATCGCTGCAAAATCTCTTTGAGTTCCTGAACCTTGGCTGATACTGCTAGCGTGACAGTCTGCTGTTTCCCACTGGGCAGTACCGCAGTTATGTCTTGCGTTTCCATGGCGGCCAATGCAGCGAATGTATTTGTTTAAGTCAATTTCCCGGCACAGGTGGACAACAGTAGCTCAGGTGATCAAACTTGAGCGCAACGGGAGCGACAGTTGCAAATAGGCACAGTCAACATGGCACTGGCAATTTTGATGCAAACAAGGAAACCATGATGCAGCGCAGCTGCTGCAAGGACTGCGAACCAGGAAAATCGAGAAAAACAATTGAAAATAATGAGAAGGTGTTTGACGCAAACAAGGACACCATGGTGCAGTACAGCTGCAGCGCGGTCTGCGAACCTGGAAAACTGGGAAAAAATCGAAAATCAGGTGAGTGGTTTTGAAGTAATGGCAGCATGCAGCATGACACAGACCACAACCAAGCCAGCCGGCTTTTTCTGCGCTTTTCGAACGAAGCTGAATCGTTTCCTGGCCCTTGAGACAGCTGATCTGAAATCATCGGGGAGCAGCTAAAGCCCCCAGGATTAATCAAAGGTATATTCCCAAGCCATGCATGGCCGTGGAAGCAAGTGCTGGCAAAGTTCCACAGTAGCCCAGCGACTACCAGAAGTTGGCAACTTCACAAAAGCTTGACAAGATGCGCGCTGGTCCGGCGATGGATGCGTGCTCTCAGGAATGAGCAAGTTTCACTGACCCGACTCTGTGAGATTCTCTTGAGCCGAAAAGTGCGCAGCGTCTAAAGCTGACATGACTCAAAACGAAATCTTTCGGAAACATCTGAAACAAGCAACAAGATTCGAAATCAAGGTTCTAAAGTTCACGTTATCTCTGAATGCCAATCCTGCCCGCAAAGACACAATCACTCCACCAAATTCAACCCCGGCCTCGGGCATGAGCGTTAAGATAAACTGCAAAAAAAAGACTCCAAATAGGGCAGTCGTGGTAACGGTACAGATGATGAATTTCTGTCGCCAGGAGATGAGTTCCTGACATCTCGCTGTTGACTTCAAGATGTCCCAATCACAAACAGAATCTGCAATCTACAGCTCAAGACATTATATACACCAGCACACTTTGCGTCGCTACTTACTGGCTTGGTTCGAACCACTATACCAAATCTCTATATTTCCATACGGCCCACTGCCTAACCAAGTACGGGTTATAACATACATCCTTGTGATTGTACTTTTGTATGCTCGAGATACCATCGACAGCCCGGCTCAGAGAGCACAGGTAAGCCAAGGGCCGCTAATCTTGACAGTGGCAAGTGGCACCACCAGATAGAGCCAATGTTTGCAAGTTCAGTCACATTGGGAAACATGCATCTGGAAACACACAGACCCGCAAGAATGCCAGATAGGATGTCAGAATGTATGCCACATAGACTCCCATAAAAAATGCCAGATAGAATGTCAGGGAATATGTCAGATGAAATCTCAGACAGAATGCCAGATAGAATATCAGATAGAATGCCAGAATGCCCGATAGAATCTCAATATATATATATATATGTCAACCAGAATGCCAGTTGACCGGGGCCACTCGAGGAAAGTAATTTTGACTATTCTCGTTTATCAGGTGGGAGCTCCAATTTGCGCAAAATGGGGCCTGCCAGTGTATATCGCGTGCCCGCTTGCCCCGCTTGCCCCCTTGCCCAGCTTGCCCCGCTTGCCCCGCTTGCCCCGCTTGCCCGGCTTGCCCCGCTTGCCCCGCTTGCCCCGCTTGCCCCGCTTGCCCCGCTTGCCCCGCTTGCCCCGCTTGCCCCGCTTGCAAGTGGGGGGGAGTGGGGCGAGTCGGGCGAGTGGGGCGAGTCGGGCGAGTAGGGCGAGTGGGGCGAGTAGGGCGAGTGGGGTCGAGTAGGGCGAGTGGGGCGAGTGGCCAAAGTCAATTAATTTCCCTACCAAGGCAAGTGGGGCGAGTGGGGCGAGTGGCGGATTTCAATTAATTTGCTAGCCCAGGGCAAGTAGGGCGAGTGGGGCGAGTGGGGCGAGTGGCGGATTTCAATTAGTGTTCCTCGTGGGCGCCCGCAATGTTACGTTAGGCATTTTCGGGGTGCAATTTTGGGGCTTCTCCGTCCTTCAGAGGCATGGTGTTTCCCTGCCGGCAGGTGATTTTTTTCCATTGTGTTTTCCCATTTGGGGACCGGATGTAAAGGTAGCCAAAATTCATAGCAGCAGCAAGAGGAAAAAGGAGCCAAAAGCGTCATTTTCTATGGGTTTCAGAAGTTACGTTAGGCATTTTCGGGGTGCAATTTTGGGGCTTCTCCGTCCCAAGAGGAAAAAGCAGCCAAAATCATCATTTTCTATGGGTTTCAGAAGTTACGTTAGGCATTTTCGGGGTGCAATTTTGGGGCTTCTCCGTCCTTCAGAGGCATGGTGTTTCCCTGCCGGCAGGTGATTTTTTTCCATTGTGTTTTCCCATTTGGGGACCGGATGTAAAGGTAGCCAAAATTCATAGCAGCAGCAAGAGGAAAAAGGAGCCAAAAGCATCATTTTCTATCGGTTTCAGAAGTTACGTTAGGCATTTTCGGGGTGCAATTTTGGGGCTTCTCCGTCCTTCAGAGGCATGGTGTTTCCCTGCCGGCAAGTGATTTTTTTCCATTGTGTTTTCCCATTTGGGGACCGGATGTAAAGGTAGCCAAAATTCATAGCAGCAGCAAGAGGAAAAAGGAGCCAAAAGCGTCATTTTCTATGGGTTTCAGAAGTTACGTTAGGCATTTTCGGGGTGCAATTTTGGGGCTTCTCCGTCCTTCAGAGGCATGGTGTTTCCCTGTTTTCCATGGTGTTTTCACATCCGAGGACCAGCAGCAGCAGCAGCAAAAGCCTCTGCAGCGGCAGGAGGAAAAGGTAGCCAAAATTCATAGCAGCAGCAAGAGGAAAAAGCAGGGGGAGCGCGTCAGGGCAGAGAGGTTGTGAACAATTTCGCCCCCGGGAGGTGATTTTTTCCATGGTGTTTTCCTATTTGGGGACCGGATGTAAAGGTAGCTAACATTCATGGCAGCAGCAAGAGGAAAAAGGAGCCAAAAGCATCATTTTCTATGGGTTTCAGAAGTCACGTTAGGCATTTTCGGGGTGCAATTTTGGGGCTTCTCCGTCCTTCAGAGGCATGGTGTTTCCCTGCCGGCAGGTGAATTTTTCCATGGTGTTTTCCCATTTGGGGAGCGGATGTAAAGGTAGCCAAAATTCATAGCAGCAGCAAGAGGAAAAAGCAGCCAAAATCATCATTTTCTATAGGTTTCAGAAGTTACGTTAGGCATTTTCGGGGTGCAATTTTGGAGCTTCTCCGTCCTTCAGAGGCATGGTGTTTTCCTGCCGGGAGGTGATTTTTTCCATGGTGTTTTCCCATTTGGGGAGCGGATGTAAAGGTAGCCAAAATTCATAGCAGCAGCAAGAGGAAAAAGGAGCCAAAAGCATCATTTTCTATTGGTTTCAGACGTTACGTTAGGCATTTTCGGGGTGTAATTTTGGGCCGTCTCTGTCCTTCAGAGGCATGGTGTTTTCCCATCTGGCGACCAGCAGCAGCAGCAGCAGCAGCAGCACTGTCTCTGGCAGATAATTTTTTCGAGCTTGTTTTCTCGCTGTAAGTTTTCATGCTGAGAGTACTGAGGCAGACAAGACAGCAGGAACTGGTCGTTTGGAATTACTTTGCATGCCATTCCGTTCGGCGGCACACGCGGCCATTGGATTGTTTGTGTTTGCTTTGGATTCGCCCAAATTCTATGGTGCTCTGGACGCAGGTTCCACAAGTAGGGCATGTGTGCGAAAAGTGGGTTGTCGGCAGCGTCGGCCGAAGAACTCCGTTCTGCACGCGAAACTGTTTCCCACACACGTGTCGGTGGTCGATATTTCCGGAAGCAATTGAAGTAGTAATAGATTTTTGGCAAAAAGGGCATGCGTACACATAAAGCTTTTTTGGTGGTGGACTTTGCTCTATGTCTTTTGGGATCGCATCCTCATGTGTATCTTCTTTTTCGCTCGTCATGGTCTGGCTCGCATGATCATGTGTGCGTGCTTTCTTGTTTGCGGCGATTGCTTCCCATGTCTCCTGGATAATTTGTCTGCGGCGAAGTCTTTTCCGGAGAGGCTCTAGGCGGGCTGTACTGGAAGCAGCAGCGCGCTTGCGGACTGCATGCTGCATCTTCGCAGCGTGGCATGTGTCGCAAGTCTGCGTTCCATCCTCTTTTACAGAGGGCCGCCTGGAAATAAAGTAGGAAAAGTGGTGCCGCGACCGCCGCTGGTGGCAGACCGCGCATTTCCAAGAGCCGCGGGTCTTGGTCTGGCATTGCAAACACAATCGACGTTTGGGATCCCGCGTTTGCCAAGCTACATGGCTGAAGTATTCTTTCGTCTGCTTTGTCTGGCATAAAAAACATTGCTTTTTTGCATCACACGACAGACAAACGCGATACATGCTCCATCGCGGGTTTTGGTGCTTTGACGCAAAGTGCGCCGCGGCGTGCCACAGGCCGCACTGGGTGCATCGGTAAGGTGTTCCTGCCTCGCGCTTCTGCGCGGTGCATTCTTTGCAGACCCGATAGGTCTCCTGTGTCCACTGCGCTTTGGTGAAGGCGTCTTTGCGTTTCATCTCCCCACACTCGTGGCACGGCCTTTCATCCAAGTACTTCTTTCGCAACGCATCCCAGTCCACCGGCTCCTGCTTCCACACATCAAGCAGAAGTTGCCGTCCCAGCGGAAGGCCTTCTTGAAAAGGCGCCAGCGGGAACGGTCGGTAGATCAAGATCTTCTGCCGTGTGCGGCAGCGTGTCATCCCAATGTACGCCGCTATTGGGTCAGCACCGATCATGTCGACGATCACGCCCGGCTCTATTGTGCTTCCTTGCGCGCCGTAGAACGTGTCGGCGAAGTCGGGCGCGATTGGAAACTGGTAACGGGTCACTTTCAATTGTGGGTTGGCGCGGCCCGCGTCCAAAAACCACATTCCACTTTGCACGCTGACCGGGAAGACGTTCTCTTGATCGATTCCTGGAATTGTCCAGCGTGTTCGTGTTTCAAAACGCACAAAAATATATTCAGGAAGTTTGTTCCAAATTGTG